AGCATAATATAATATAATATAATATAATATAATATAATATAATATAATATAATATAATATTCTTTTAGCATTTAATACAAATGAGAAATAATTTTCTTCTTTACACATTCAATTTGTCATGGAATACATATCAAGAACACATTTAAGGGGTTTCTCTCAAATGTAAAAACTACATATAATTAGTTACAATAATAATATAATATAATATAATATATAGCATATATTTTATATTTAACATATATACAAATTAATAATAATTGTATTCACTAAAATTATAGTTTCATGTATGATATAGATAGACAGATATTTTTAGTATGATATGTTATGATTTCTGCTGTGTTTTTGCGGTTCATCTCTGGGTTTGGTCTCCACGTCACAGAATCCAAAGTCACCAGAAAACCTACAGAAACGACCTGAAACGAGCAGAAATGATTCTCTTTAACATCACTGAATGTCGTTACTCTATATCAAACATTTAATTTCCTCCTATTTTCTTCTCACCCAATAAATCTAGGTGACAAAAATGAAGATGATGATGATGGGCAGGAAGATGAAGATGCCATCAGAAGTGCTCCTGTTTGCAGCGTTATGTGACTGTTCTGAAAAACAAACAAAAAACAAATATTGTTTTATCATTTCATACCTTGTTGCATCTTTCTTTATAATAAATTACATTTTAAGTGGGAATTAAGTATTTAGATCTTTTTCTCATGTCATAATTATTACATTATCATCAGACTCACCTTGAGAAGATCGACAGAGATCTGATGGAACCGATAATACAGCTCAGTTATGCTGATAATAAGCTTATCTATACAATAATCATGTCATGATGTACTGTAAAGACGTACATTTGTTATATTGACAATTATATTATCTAATTAAATACCCATAGTATATTTGACCATTAATGGTATACAGTAATGCTAGCATTCAAAGACTGGATGGTAAATTAATACTTTCATTCATCATGGCTGTATTAAAGTGATCAAAAGTGACAGTAAAGACAGTTATAATGTTACCAAAGAATTCTGTTTCAAAATAAGTAATTTTGAACTTTCTATTGAATCCTGTGAAATAAAATGTATCACAGTTTCCACTAAAATATTGGAACATTAAATACCGTTTTCAACATTGATAATAATCAGAAATGTTTCTCGAGCAGCAAATCAGCATATTAGAATGATTTCTGAAGATCATGTGACACTGAAGACTGGAGTAATGATGCTGAAAATACAGCTGCGCATCACAGATATACATTACAGTTTAACACATATTCACATAGCCAACAGCTGTTTTAAATTGTAATAATATTTCACAGTTTTTACTGTATTTTTGATAAAATAAATGCAGCCTTGGTGAGCAGAAGTGACTTATTTAAAAAAAAAAAAA